AAAAGATTTTATTTACTTATGCATACAAGTGCTGGGGTACAGGCCAGAGGTGTAGGAGGTGAGAAGACTCACCAGAGACAGAGTGGGGAGCAGATTGACTGAAATACACTGTTGAGGGGAGTAGCATGCCAGACAGGAGAGGTCTGCTGCGCCCTGTGCGTCACCTCCCTGGCCGGGGGATTGAATTTGTGCTGCAGTGGCTGCAGAGAGCTTCCTAGTGCTGTGCTTTAACCCCTTGCGCCCCCAGGGAGGCCCATGACTTTCATTTTTATTTGAGTTCTGCACCTTGTACTTGTACCTTTTAAAGTTCCATCATACACAGTTTTGACTTACTATCATGTTTGATTTTTGTTCATCATTCCTACAGATTTTGAACTGGATCCATTGTGAACTGGATCCGATGTGACTCTTTGGGGTAGAGTTTCTAAAACTTCATATTGACTTGGGCTGAAAGAGGGCATTATTACCTCTCGTGGCTGAAAATCCAAGGGGTGCCCAAATTGGGGCATTGCTGGAGTGGGTATTCAGATAATGTCCTTAGGAATCTCCAGTGTCTTGTTCCTACATTCCCTCCTGTTGACCTCACTGAGCCTGTGTCCTCCTGCTGGTAAAATGGCCCCACAGTAACCCAGGGCTACCTCTGCTTTCTTAGGAACCCAAGCAAGAGAGAACCCCTTTCTGGGCTCATACACTTTCCCACCAAAAGTCTGCAAGAGTTTTAATGGCCTGTCCCAAGTGACACACCATCTCTGACCCCACCCTTGTGGCCAGGGGAATTAAGTGTTCTCATTGTGAGGCAATGGCCATTCCTGGACCACTGGGTTTCATCAGCCCTCCAAGAATTGCAGAGAGTTTTCATTGGCTGGGCTTAGATCACATGGCCTCTCTGAGCCAATCCCTGTGGCCAGAGTGATTTCAGCATTCTGATTGGCCCGACTTGGGTCAGGTGACCTCTCTTGGCCGCTTAAATTTAATTAGTCCCTCTGGATGCTCAGGCCCTGAGTGACATGCTTCAAAGGAAAACCTGACTATCGGTTGACTAAACCAGCAACGGCGCTGAAAACCTTGGAACAGAAGTCTTGACATGGGCTGGAATCTGGGGTGCAGTCTTTCACTGTAATCTGTTACTATTTAATTTCTTATTTTATTTACTTTTCTAGCTTTCCCTCATCTGTTTAGAATCATGCAAATAATATATGAATGCATCCTTTTGGTAAACCATCTTATAACTGGAAGTCTTCAGTAAGACATAAAGTCCCCCCCGTCTTTCAATCCCACACCCCAAAGGAACCTCAGCCATTACTTGGTGTGCCTTCTTCTAGCCCACTTCCTCTACTTTTAAAAATGGACCACACATGCATTTTTATGTGTAATTTATTTGATTTGTTTTTCATGTTTCATTTAATTTTTTGAATGAGTCTATTTTATGGTTGAGACATCAAAACCATCAAAATCCCATGTGAAAAATCTCTTTTTCATCCCTCTGTCCCTTCACTGAGTTCTCCTACCCCGGGTAGGTACCATCTGTTACTAATTTCTTGTTTATTCAGGGGAATTTATATGCATGTGCAACCCACTACAAATATATTTTCATATGTATGTTCTGAATTGCTTTTTCCTTTTAAGAGTCAGTCTTAGCTATTATGCCAAACTGATGGGGATTTATTTAACCATTTCATTCTTGATGGGCTTCGAGGTTGTCTCCAGTGTTCTCTCAGATACACTCGGCTACCATGACGTGTTTGGGCAAATATCTCTGCCACAGTGAATATCCTTGGGCAAACAGTTTCATGCAGATGTGCCAGTTATTTAAGATATATTCCTAGAAAAA